TTTAATTTATTTATGTATTTTTACTTATATTTTTTCATATTTCTTATTATTTTATAAATGTATTTATTATATTTTATTTGTATTTATTTTTATGTATGATTTTTTATATATATATATATATATTCTAAGTATCTTATATTATAAGTTGAAATGTTTTGATGAGTAAGTGTTCCAGTGTTTGAGAGGTTTCTGATGATGATGATGATGATGTGGTGACAGGATTCATGATCTGACGTGTATGAAGGAGCTGGTGAAGGCTGAGGTCCATGACTCTGAGATCTTATGTCTGGAATACTCCAAACCTCCGTCAGGTGTGTGTGAGTGTGTGTGTGTGTGTGTGTGTGTGAGACCGTGACTGTGACAGTGAATGTGTGTTGGACAGGTGTGAATCTGCTGGCCACTGCGAGTCGAGATCGTCTGATCCATGTACTGGACACTGAGGAAGACTACGGTCTGCTGCAGACTCTGGACGAGCACTCGTCCTCCATCACGTCTGTCCGCTTCGCTGGTCAGAGCTCATTGTTCCCTGTTATTATGATATAATATACACAAGCAGACGTGCGGTGGGTGTTGATCTCTGTGATCTTGTGATTGTCCATGATGTTTGGATCAGCCGCTGGTGACGGGACGCTGCGGATCATCAGCTGTGGAGCGGATAAGAGCATTTACATCCACACCGCTCACAGGGTGAGTCCCGAGAAAAACCACCAGAACCTCCGATCGAATCCAGAGTTTCTCTGATGCTCTGTTAAACTGAGTGCGTGTGTGTTCATGTAACAAAACTCTTTTCATGGCTTTAGTTAATGGTACTAACCCTGGTTTGTTTAGACGGTCCGAGGAGCTGAATTCAAGCGGACTCATCATGTGGTTCGTAAAGCGACTCCTAATGACATGGATGTGGATCCCACCTGCAAGTACGCTGCCGTGGGCAGTCAGGACCGCAGCATCCGGTGAGGAGATACGGGTGTTGGTTTGAGACTGTGATGGCTTGAGTTGAGATGGTTTGATGATGTTGGTGTGTGTCTGTGGTTCTCTAGAGTGATCAACATCAGCAGCGGCAAACAGAAGAGATCCTTCAGCGGCTCTCAGACTGAAGACGGCAGTTTGCTGAAGGTCCGATCACTGACACACAGCTCAACCAGCGCTCACCGTGATTCAAACAAACACCCGACGTGTAGAAGCCGTTCACACAAAGAACAATAACTATAATGATAACTATATCAGCGTCCACACATCAGTCTGTTTATTATAAGCACTTGCTGCAGTTTTAAATACACAAGCTCTTTAAAATAAGATGGATTCTGATTGGATTTTAATGTTTCTTTCTGAAAGTGATTCCAAGGATATTTTTCTTCTGTGTTGTTATCGTTATAGTTGTGTGCACTTACTATTCTCTTAGTGATTATTAAACGTGAACTGCCTTTTTATTTTTATTTTGTACTGTTCTCTGAGGTCCACTTATAATGTTATCAAGATTTTTTTCATCAAAAAACATCTCTGAAAAAAAGCTCTGTTTGAGTAGGCGTGGCGGATTGTAGACTCTGAAGTAAACGCCCACTGCTGTGATTGGCTAACAGCTGTGTATGATTAGGTGCGTTCGACTTCATGCGGCGCCGCGCAAACCGATCGGCGGCTGACTTGAAGCAGTGCATGCCGGTTAGAAATTTTGTCTGACTTGAACCGGCGCCAACGCCACGTCACTGTCACGTGTGGCATCAAAGTACCGCGAGAGCGTTTCGAGAGCAGCCGGCTGACTCAGCTGGCGCAGCTTTTTCAGAGCGACTGCAGGAGCGTTGATGACGACACAGCCATTTCACGATTGGCCAGATTCACCGCATCTGTAGAATCGGTGGGTGGAGCTAAACAGGCAGTTTTGTAGAATCAGTGGGTGGGGCTAAACAGGCGGCGCTGTAGAATCGGTGGGCGGGGCTAAACAGGCGGCTCTGTAGAATCGGTGGGTGGGGCTAAACAGGCGGCTCTGTAGAATCGGTGGGCGGGGCTAAACAGGTGGTGACGTCGAAGCAGGCTTTGATCATCTTCTGTGGAGGCGGGGTTTAGCCACACTATTACGCCATAAAGAGGCACATTCCACAAACTGTCGTTTTGGCAGATTGGCTTCAGTATAATCTGTTTTTAGACTAACAAGAATGTTTTGATTTCTGAAACTTACAGGATGTTTTTATGGTACAATGACCTCTTAAATGTCAAAAGATCAAGGGAATTTTGATTACTCCGTTCATGACCCCTTTAAAATTTTATGGTTAAAGTTATTGTCAACATTATTGTTTTTGGTGTGAATGAGACTTAAAGAGTAAGTTCACAGATTTTCAACCAGCTTTGTATCGTTACAATGTTGGTAGTATCAGGGATATTATCGTTAACTAAAACTAAAAACATTAACGTTTTCATTACTTGAAATAAAATGAACATTAACTAAAATAAAAAGTATATATTAAAAACTTTTTCAGCTAGTTTCAGAGGCAACATTTCTCATTTTCATTGAAGTTTGTTTAAAAAATGTGTAAAATGCTTTAAATGTCAAGAAAATCATTATATACATGTAACAAATTATAACTGGGTAGTATATATAAATGGACAATATGAATCAGTGTTATTTTAGTATCATTGAGATACTATTATAGTTTTTGTTAATATTTTGAATTAGATTTTATTTGTATATTTTCCGCTTTCATGTTAATTTTAGTAAAAAATTTAGTAATTTTGTTGTGATTGTCATTTTTATTGGTTTTTGTTGTTTTTAAATATGTCTAACATAGTTTATTCATTGTTATTTCAGTGTTAATTATTTTGGGACATCAAGTTAAACTACATGGAAAAAGAGAAATGTTGTCTGTTCACGGTGTGTGTGTGTGTTCACTACTCACTGCTGTGTGTGTGCACTTTGATGGGTAAAATGCAGAGCACAAATTCCAAGTATGGAACACCATACTTGGCTACATGTCCCTTTCAATTTCATAAGTTAAAGTTTTTTGTATATTTTATTTCATTTAACATTTATTTCAAGTAGCATTTTTTATGGTTTAGTTTTAGTCAACTATGATAACCCTGCTGTGAACTCTTTCTCTGTGTTAAAACTACTGATCAAACTTCCACTGCCCACAGACAGACTAATGGGCGGGGCCAAAATCAAAAGTGCATTATGGGTAGTGTGGTTTTGGTAAACTTTGTGGGATCGCCACGCCACAGCCCTTTCTCAGTTTTTTTTCTCATCATGTTGCACCTATTTAAAAAAAATAATAATTTATTGAAAGCCAGCAGTGAATCACTTCATTCAGTCATGAATCTGTCTGGTTCTACGGTTTGTGTTTTGTCAGTGAAGTGAAGTTTGTGGTTTCTGCAGGTTCAGATTGATCCGTCGGGTCTGTTTGTGGCCTCCAGCTGCTCTGATAAGAACATCAATCTGATCGACTTCCAGACCGGAGAGAGTCTGGCCACTGTGTTTGGACACTCGGGTAACATGGTGCTTCTTCTGTCTTCCTCAGTGTGTGTGATGATGATGATGGTGGTGATTGTGACTGATGATGGTCATTGTGGCTGATATGTAGGGATATGCCGGTATCAATTTTTCATGTTGCGATTAATTGCTAATGCTTTTATCACGGTATGCGGTATTATCACGATATTGGGATTGTTTTTAAAAAGTGCTGTCATAATACAGTATAACAGGTTTAATAACTTTTTTCTTATAACAAAAATAACTGAACATTTAAATGCAATAAAGCAATACAGAAAACGCATTACCGAATACCGGCACAAGTCTACTGTGATGGTGGTGATTGTGACTGATGATGGTAATTGTGACTGTGATGGTGGTGATTGTGACATGGTGATTGTGACTGATGGTGGTCATTGTGGCTGATGATGGTAATTGTGACTGATGGTGGTGATTGTGACTGTGATGATGGTAGTGATTGTGACTGATGATGGTCATTGTGGCTGATGATGGTGATTGTGACTGTGATGTAGGGATATGCCGGTATCAATTTTTCATGTTGCGATTAATTGCTAATGCTTTTATCACGGTATACGATTATCACGGTATTATCACGATATTTAAATTTAGTTTTAAAAAAGTGCTGTCATAATACAGTATAACAGGTTTAATAACTTTTTTCTTATAACAAAAATAACTGAACATTTAAATGCAATAAAGCAATACAGAAATATAAGGGTTTACTCTTAGTTTTTTCTGTAATTTAATTACAGTTACTTCTGATGTAATTACATTAAATACTGTATAGAACAAATTGTGACTGTGATGGTGGTGATGGCGACTGATGGTAGTTGTGACTGATTGTGGTGATTGTGACTGTGATGATGGTAGTGATTGTGACTGATGATGATGGTGGTGACTGTGATTTATGGTGATTCGGGCCATGATTGTGACTGTGTTGTTCCTGTTGGCAGAGAACATCACGGCTCTGAGGTTCAGCAGTGACTGCAGGCGTCTGCTCTCGTCTTCAGCTGACAGGTTTGACTCCAGCTGTTCTTCTGTTCAGCTCCTGTCATGCTGTGAATCTCACTGACCGCATCTGTTGTGTTTCAGCTGTATCTTTGTGTGGCAGCTCGCTCCTGAACTCACTATCAGTATGAGAGAGAGACTGTCTGCGATCAGACGCCGTGACAGGGCATCGAGCGTCAGGAACAATCCCTTCAGGTACAGGAGAGTTTGACATCCGCATCATGTGCATTTGACTGATTAAAGCCTGTTTAGTTTGATTATAAATGAGTTTGTGTCTGTTTCAGACGTTCTTCTGTGACTGGATTCACACTGCACAGATCCACATCCATCATGACCTGCTCATCTGAGAGCGAACGAGAGGAAGAGGAAGATGATGATGAAGACATGAAGACAGCTGAAGAGACGGGTCAGAACACACACACCTTTACTCTAAATAAGGACTTCTGTTGTTTTATATACAGCTACATATGAATACTATAACCTAACAGTAACACAAAACTTTCCACATGTTCAGTTTTTTTTTTTTTGGAATATAATATATAAATGAGGATGCACACAAAGACAGTTCAGATCTAGCTGACTTCTGGATACAAATTTGCCCCCCAAAATATGGTTCAGTAGATACAAACCAGAATTTTTATAGGAAAATAAAACAGAAACCATTAAAAATGTTACTTGTAATAAAATAAATAATAACTTAAATGTTACTTCAGCTAGTTTCCAATGCAACATTGCTCATTTTCATTTACTTCAACTTGATGTACTAAAATAACTAAAACTGAAATAAAAAATAAATTAAAACTATATAGACATACTTAAATTTTTTTTAAAGAAACCGGAGAATATAAAAGTTAAAACATAATTCCAAGTACTAATTAAAATTATAATACAATTTCCGTTTTTATCAATTATATTAAACTGACTTACAAAACTTAGTTTAACTTGATGTACAAAAAAAACCAAACAATTAATTAAAACGGAAATGAAATGTAAAACTATACATGCATTAAAAAGCTAATAAAAATGAGAAAAACACAAAATAAAATTACTGAAACTTTAACCAAAATTAAAATGAAAACTAAATATACTATTATAGATTTCAGGTTTTAAATAATTTTTTTTTTTGTATCAATGCTACACACACACACAGACACTCATATTGGTATATATGAATACTATAACCTAACAGTAACACAAAACTTTCCACATGTTCAGTTTTTTTTTTTTGGAATATAATATATAAATGAGGATGCACACAAAGACAGTTCAGATCTAGCTGACTTCTGGATACAAATTTGCCCCCCAAAATATGGTTCAGTAGATACAAACCAGAATTTTTATAGGAAAATAAAACAGAAACCATTAAAAATGTTACTTGTAATAAAATAAATAATAACTTAAATGTTACTTCAGCTAGTTTCCAATGCAACATTGCTCATTTTCATTTACTTCAACTTGATGTACTAAAATAACTAAAACTGAAATAAAAAATAAATTAAAACTATATAGACATACTTAAATTTTTTTTAAAGAAACCGGAGAATATAAAAGTTAAAACATAATTCCAAGTACTAATTAAAATTATAATACAATTTCCGTTTTTATCAATTATATTAAACTGACTTACAAAACTTAGTTTAACTTGATGTACAAAAAAAACCAAACAATTAATTAAAACGGAAATGAAATGTAAAACTATACATGCATTAAAAAGCTAATAAAAATGAGAAAAACACAAAATAAAATTACTGAAACTTTAACCAAAATTAAAATGAAAACTAAATATACTATTATAGATTTCAGGTTTTTAAATAATTTTTTTTTTTGTATCAATGCTACACACACACACAGACACTCATATTGGTATATGTGGTTTACGGGGACTCTCCATAGGCGTAATGGTTTTTCTACTGGACAAACTGTATTTTCTATCCTCTTACCCTAAACCTGCCCCTCACACAAAACTACAGGCATTTTTACATTCTCAAAAACACCGTTTACTATGTTTTCAAGCCATTTGGTTTACAGGGACACAGGAAATGTAAACCTCATAAACCATGTTAATATTGTAATATCCATGTCATTACACACATTTGTGTCCTCATAAACCATATATACCAGAACACACACACACACACACACACGTGTATCTCAACGCTTACAGAGGTTAATGTGATGTGGAATAACGTGTCTGATCCTGTCGTCTTCTCTCTTATAAAGGTGCATCTGATGAAACGCACTGGAATCCAGTGAAGGTCTGTATCTCACACTGGAGTCAGTCTTTAGCAGCTTGCTGTAAAGCTGCACGATCTGAAATGTGTTTTCATGAATGATTGAGCCATATGTGACCCTGCAGCACAAAAGCAGTGTTAAGTCGCTGGGGTATATTTGTAGCAATAGCCAACAATACATTGTATGGGTCAAAATTATAGATTTTTCTTTTATGCCAAAAATCATTAGGATATTAAGTAAAGATCATGTTCCATGAAGATATTTTGTAAATTTCCTACCGTAAATATATCAGAACTTAATGTTTGATTAGTAATATGCATTGCTAAGCACTTCATTTGAACAACTTTAAAGATGATTTTCTCAATATTTAGATTTTTTTGCACCCTCAGATTCCAGATTTTCAAATATTGTCCTATCCTAACAAACCATACATCAATGGAAAGCATATTTATTCAGTTTGAAAATGTTGAAAAATTTACACTTAAGACTGGTTTTGTGATCCAGGGTCACATATTAGGTTTGTTTGTTCTCATTGAACTTGAGAAATAAAGCCTGGTTTAGGCTCAAAACTGAACATTTCATCCAGGGTTTACCAAACTGTGCTTCATAATCATCATAATTCATAAAAATGGTAAATTTAAATAATTTAAAAATAAAACATTTACTAAAAAAAAAGAAACAAATATTTGTTTAGCTGCATGTCATGTGATCATTTACTGCCATCAGAGAACCATGAATGTGTTGGTAAATTATTGAAATATTACTTTAAAATCTCATGGCGACTTTCAGATCAAATGGGTTTGTTTTATGAAAACGTTTGGGAATCACTGACATACAGGAAAAATACAAGGTTTGTGAAAGTGACAACCGAAATGTGTGATGCAACCTGAAGCCACATGACACCAGCGTTTGACGTCGATGTCTGTAGGAGGCGTCTGTAGACTCGAGTGCGTCTGCGGTGGCGTGCCGTCCTCGCAGGCGCTGGTCCTGTCGTGTGGGATCGCTGGAGCTCATGGTGAAGTCCATGCTGGAGCTGCGGCAGCTCGATTCACTTTCTGAAGCTCCAGGCCAGAGCAGAAGCTGCGCTGATCGATGCAGCACCTCCAGCCTGCAGGTCACTATTACTTCAGCCCATTTCATTTCACTTAATAAGCATTTGAACTGCAGATATTTTATTGATATAATTATGTTGCACTCCATTTTGTTGTTATAATAATACTTTATGATAGATTTATTCAAATAAACATTAAATACTGAAGAACAGGTTCAGTAAAATATCATGAAAATGTAATATAGTGCATATATGCAGTGTTGGGGAGTAACTAGTTACATGTAACGGAATTACGTATTTTTGGCATAAAAGAGAAATGTATAATTTTGACCCATACAATGTATTGTTGGCTATTGCTACAAATATACCCCAGCGACTTAACACTGCTTTTGTGCTGCAGGGCATTGATCAAAATGCTCCTCTCTAGAGTTATTTTTTTCAGCTGACTTTCGATGTTACATGACATTATTGATCGCAAGTTGTTTTATTGACATCTTTCTGCGGTTGAATCACTGATTGATGGATTCCATGATTCATGATTGATTTCAGTGTTTCTTTTGATGTTCATTCATGTTTATTTGCTGCTGTAACTAGTAGTAAAGAGGAAGAGATGATCAGCCATCTGTCACCACACATCTGAATCGGTTATTAATGTTCAGCTGAATATTTTCGGTGCTGGTATTTAGTTGCGTCTCTAGTCCTCCAGGCTTCATTCGTGTGGTTCTCTGTGTTGTTCAGGATTGGACTCTCCGGCGTCCTCGATGGCTGGTTCCCGTCGGCGCTCCTGAACCTGAGGGTGTGGTTCTGTACCCGGATCACTGTCCCAGCACCAGCAGCCTGCCTGGACCGTCCTACCAGATACAGGCTCTGTCTGAGACCGCCGAACACGAGGAGAGAGCAGAAGAAGCCCAGAGTCCCGTCAGCGGAGCCTCCATGGGCTACGGCAGCGGAGGATCCAGTCCAGACCACCGACACCACGGTAAAACCTCACACACACGGGGGATTGGAGATAGCTAAAATTTAAAAATACATGTTTTAATTCAGCAGAATTAAAAACCTGAAAAATTACTTTTTTACTCTGAAGACTTTTTTTGAGTGTGAATGATCCTTTAATGAAAAACGTAACTTTTTTTTTTTTTTTTCACACTTGGGTTTTCGCTTTACAAGAATCAAAACAACTTGAGTTTTCATGTTCATGACTCATTCAATATGACTATGAAATAATTGTAATTTTGAGTATTAATACAAATATTAAGTAATATGTAATATTTCTATAGTACTGTAAAATAGAAAAATAATATTTACTAAATAATTATAGAAAATATACAATATAAATATATATATATATATATATATCTCGCAAACGCAGCGGCGGATCTCCACCAAATTCGAGGGTTCCTCGAGCTGAAGGAATCGCTGTTACGGAGATATGGCCGTTCAAAGTTTCAATGGTATTTCATGCACTTAAGCTTTAAAGCGTTTCATCCAGGTCGCCAGTAGCAAACAATGGAGCGCGCTCTGCTGGACAAACTACGTAATTACACCATTTACAAGCATTTTATCTGCGTTTTATGTTCTGAAAAAAATTTTTCATAACGGTGGCATATTCGCCGATACGATATATCTGCGACAGGCTCATATCGGCCGATAAAATCGGCAAAACGATATATCAGTCGGGCTCTAATCAGTTTCCAGGGAATGCATAAGTCACCAAATGCATGAATCCACCAGTAACCGCTCCGATGAAGAATCATGAGCTGTTTTTCTCTCAGATGTGGAGGCGCTGGGCTCTGATGAGGAATCCTGTGACGGTAGCACACGGCCGATCTGTGATTCTGAGAGCGTTCCGCATCAAGACGTCTGGAGGAGAAGCTCTGAGACGCTGACGGATGGCAACGATGCAGGTAAACTCGCTCTAGTTTTTCTTCTTCTTTTGTAAGTCACTTTGGATAAAAGCATCTGCTGAATGCATGAATGTAACACTTTTGAGTCTTTGATTTGTTCTCAGGGTCTCAGATGAGAGCTGAAGGTTTGCACAGCCAGAAGTCCTCTAGCAGATCCAGTGCGGCAGTGAAGCCCACGGTGAGCGGCGTCAGGCCCCTGATGGAGGACGCAGGAGAGCCCTATCGTCCAGCGCAGAGGAGCCACCCGTACCTGAGCCGCGTCAGCAGGACCTCAGCTGGACTCCAGAAGTCTGCTTCAGCACACAGTCTGAGCGCCGACCGTGAGTGTCTGATCTGATGAGGGCTGATCAGCAAAGGCTCTGGAATACATCACACTGATTCAGATCGTTTTAAAGAGCGTTCATCATTAGGTCAAGATTTTTGCGAAATAATAAATTAAATTTTTGGCTTATTTTTCGCCGCCTCCAGAACACTCTGAATGTACGGCACGAGTCACATGGGATCATTTTACCAGAGTTTTGCATTCTTTTTAAAAAAAGGTTTATTTAAGGCTTTAAATGCACAATATTGTCAAAATCTGACATTGTGACATTTTGTTTTTCTGCACTGCAAAAAATGAATATATTTTCCAGGACAACAAATCTAAAAATCAAGACACATTTACTGGAGATGCAAAATGACATAAGTCTTGTTTTCTGAAAAATATATGAAAATGAAGTGACTTTATGCTTATGACAAGAAAAAATATGTGGTAAGAAAAATAAACTGTTTAAAGGGAAATTTTTATTTTTCTGACCCTACTGGCAGACATTTGTTTAAGCATCAGGTCACTTAATTTGTATAATTTTTTTTTAGAAAATAAGATTTGTCTTTATTGTGTGTGTATATATTAAAATAAGAGTATTATTGAATAGAAATATTACAAAATAATTTGTACTAATACTATAATACTATAAAATAAAATAAAAATTAAAGTAAAATGTAATTTAGCATTTAATAAATAATTATAAAAAATATTCTTGATTGTCAAATGTAAAACAATTTTATTTTGGCCGCAAATAATTAATTAAATCAATGTACTGCAAGTTTCAGAGTAAAGCGAGGCACGCTTGCAGCTCATGATCCGGTGTTTCAGTCTCATATTCAGCATGTATATTTATTTAAAGACCACCTGCGCTTTGATAATCACAAGCCATATTGTGATAATGATTTTATGTGGATATTATTATTCATCATGCAGCCTTAACAGCAAAACATGCTAACTGTTCTGTGTTTGGCTGCACAGACGAGCACAGCAGACACATTCTGGGGACACCAGAGACTTATATTACATATTGTAAAAAGGGGCATAATATGTCTCCTTTAATGTATTAATGTATTTATTTTTCCCAGCAGGAAGGTCCCTGTCTCCGTCCCGTCTGCGGCGAGCGGCGCGTCCCGTCCTGCCTAAGCTCAGTCTGGAGAAGGTCGCCCCTCATCAGCCGTCCTCCCCTCAGCCGTGGGACAGTCCGACCCAGAGCCGTGTCCTCCGCTCCTACATGAGCCCCACCACCAGCTCCATGGCCAAAACCAGCCGCTCTGCGTCCATCGGTGACAGCCTGCATGTGGGCAGCAGCTCCTGCGAGAGTCTGGTGCTCCCCGCGCCGTCCCTCCTCACAAACACCGTCAGACCCCGCGTGTGTCAGCGCCTGAGCAGATCGGCTTCATCGCAGAACCTTCTCTCTGACCCGAGCGCTTCTTCATCCTCCTCCTCCTCCTCCTCCAGCACAGACCCCCAGCAGACGCTGTCTCACACGCCTCGAGCGGAGGTGAAGGCTTTCTCTGTGGCGTCTGATGCTCCTGATGATCAAGGTTTGCCTCGGCGACGCTCTTCCTCCGTCATGCTTCTTCCTCTCTGTTTCTCTCCCTTCTTCTCGCTCTCCTCCAGCCGTCTGTGTGTTTCGGGTGAGTTCACGCTGTGTTCATATTCTCTCAGTCATTCGTTACCGCTGGTTTTGTTTCTCCTGCTGTGTGATGGTTCTGATATCTAGACGTTTAGCAGCTGATGTCGTGCGGTCCGTCTTTCACAGACTGACGACGCTTCTCCACAGTTACTAACATCATAAATTAAGCAACGTTTTAAAAAATATATATTTTCATTTTTAAAAATGTAATGTACATTTATAACACACTACTTTGTTTTCTTACCTTGGTATTGAATAACATTAAGCTAGTTAACACTGCAGTGTGATGGTAAATTTGACATCTTTTTCTTTTTTGACCAACATATACAATCTCTCGATATTTTTTCCTCTTTTGGAATATCAGAAAAACACTATGGACGTTGTGTTTTTAAAACATAGTTTCTTCATCAGATTTGTAGAAATGTAGCATTGCATCACTGTCTCACTGCAAGTGAATGGGTGCCGTCAGAACGAGAGTCCAAACAGCTGATAAAAACATCACAATAATCCACAAGTAATCCACAGCACTCCAGTCCATCAGTTAACATCTGGAGAAGACAAAAGCTGAAACAAATCCAGAATTAAGACGTTTTTAACTAAAATATGAGTCCATAATCCATAATAACTCTTCCTCCAGTGAAAAAGTGTATCTGCTGTTGTCTCTCACATCAAAATCCAGCCACATATTTGTTTAGAGCTGTTTAAACGCTGCTTGATCTGTGCAGATTTCTCTCCTGATTCACACCAGAACACTTTCTCACTTCGGGAAGAGTTATTATGGATTATAGACTCTATGGTATTTTAGTTAAAAACGTCTTAATGCTGGATTTGTTTCAGCTTTTGTCTTCTCCAGATGTTAACTGATGGACTGGAGTGCTGTGGATTACTTGTGTTTTTATCAGCTGTTTGGACTCTCATTCTGACGGCACCCATTCACTGCAGAGCATCCATTGCTGAGCACATTTTATAGCAGCTTCAAATGCGTCTCATAAGTCTGTATTGGTGACGTTCTGATGGACTCTGTCATTGATCTGATGGTGATGTTCACAGACGCGTCGGTCGGGCTGGAGCTCTGCAGGCGGGCCGCAGCTGATCTGTGCAGCAGTGTGAGGACAGCGACGCGGCTCTACAGGACGGTGAGTGACTAGTGAACTTCAGCTCTGTAAGTCTGTCACTTCTGCAGCATGCTCACCGATGACACCGAGTCATTACTATATCTCTGTGTGGTGTTTCAGCTGATCTCCCATGATGCCGAGCGCAGTGCGGAGCAGCAGCAGATGCATCAGCTGATGTCAGACGCGCTGCTGCTCGTGCGATCGGAGCTGGATTCAGTGTCTGGATCGTCTGGAGCCCTGAGGATGGAGGAGGGAAAGGAGACGCTCGCATTACTGGAGCAATACTCACAACTGCTGCTGCGCTCGGTGGAGAGGAGACTCCATCAGGACGAGTAGAGCTGCAGATCCACGCACGTGTGTGTGTGTGTGTGTGTGTGTGTGAGAGAGAGAGAGAGTGTGTGTGTGT